TATACACGTGGACCTCACCAGATGGAATACATAGAAATCAAATTGACTACATCTACAGAAAGAGATGATGGAAAAGCTCCATATCATCAGTCAAAACAAGGCCAGGGGCAGATTGTAGAACAGATCATCAATTGCTTATATGCAAATTCAAACTGAAGCCGAAGAAAATGAAAACAAGTCCATGAGAGCCAAAATATGACCTTGAATATAGTGACCCTATATTCAATATAGAGAATAGAGGGAAGTTCTAGTCTGCTCTAGCGGGTCATTATCCACTAAGTGGCATTCAACTATGACTCCATCTCAGGTTTTTTGTTGTTGTTAAGTGCCTTCAAGTCGATTCCAACCCATAGCGACCCTCTATAGGGTTTCCGAGGAGCAGCTGGTGAGCTTGAAGCATCGACCTTGCAGTTCAAACGACTTTGCAGTCTGGCATTGTGGGAAAATTCAGGCCACAAATCGTGAGGTTAATTCTTTAAATCCAACTTCCCTGAGTGGAAAATTACATAGGGTTCAATAAACACCTGTTCGAATTCATAAGCAAGCCACTCACGTGTACCTCTGTAATTCAAAACAACATGCCTAGGAGCTCCTAAGAGTTAAGAACACCTTCAACTGTCTAACCTCGCCTGCCCTAGGTGCTTCTGGGAATTGTAGTTCTTTTTTTCATATTCCTTTTTCGGGGGAAGTGGGAGGATTTAAGACTTTTCATTTAAAATCTGACCTGAATTCCCACATCTCAGAAATCTAATTCCCAACAGTGCAGCGCGTGAAGATGTGTTCCCTCCCCAGTTTATCACCGCGTAAAACTCCCAGGGCTGCAAAGAAATGATAGGCAAAGTACTAGCAACATCAGTCCCTGGGGCCAGGAAATCACTGGAGGATCCCCACCCACAGGGACCAAGGGGTTCCGCGGGAATTGTAGGACCACGGCAAACACCTGGCTGGAGAGCAGGGCAGGGCCACTCACGGGGCTCTCGGTCGCGGGGCTCTCATCCTTCTTGGCAGGCCCCCGCTCCAGGGGCACGGCCAGAACTGTACGCAACAGCAGTAGGAGGAAGGCAGCGCGAGGTCCAGTGGGAGACATGGCGACGTGGTCTGTGGGGGGCGAGGGTGTATGTATGACAATATCTGTTCCAAGTCCCCGTCTTCCTAAAACCCAGAGTCGAAACCCCTAGCGCCGCGCCCCCACTCATCCAAAAGTCAAAAGTCAAGGCTCAAAGCATCTAGTCCTCCGGGACCCCAGATTTTCCTTTCTCCGAGTCTCAGTCCCAGACACCCTGGCTCCAAACTCTGGGGTCCAAGACCTCCACTCCCATCTCCCCCAAACCAAAACGTCCAAGCTTCTAGCCTCCTCTTTCCCTAGAAGTTCTGGCTCCCAACCCATCCTCTTCTGGGATCCAGTTTTCCAGCCCTCTGGCCCCTCAGCCTCCCTCCTCTGCAGGACCCCTGAGTCCTGGTGTCTCGGCCCCTCACCTCTTGTATACCGCAGAGGGCGTTTTCCCAGGCCAGGACCTCCGGTGCGGTCTTGGTGATTTCCCCTCTAGGCCGTGCCCATTTTCCTGCAGGCCCCGCCCCCAGAGGTCTGATTGGTTTACGCTAGAGACCGGTTTCGGGCCCGTGTCTTCACTTCTGGCGGCCTCTGCTCTCTACGGTGTCGCTCGCCTTTTTTCGGAAGCTTCGCCTTATCTTTCTCGGAAGCCCAGCCTCCCTGAAGCCAAATTTCCTGCTAGGTAAAAGGAGAGCGAAGACTTTTGAACTACAACTCCCAGCAGGCCGGGGGATAATTCGTCAACCTCAGTGGACATCTTGGCCCCGTTGCCTGATGGGAGGTGTAGTTTTCCCATCCGGGAGACTGCTGCAAGTTAGCGCTCCATTGCAATGTGCACAGCCCGCTTTTCTAAGTTTCTCCAAGTGTAAAGTGAGACTGCAATTTGACCTCTCTTGGGTCCCTTTAAGGAACACCCGCATGTCATTCCATGAACACTTGTAAAGGGTTGCCTTGGCTGCTTCGGTGGCCAGGGGTCATTGCTTTGTTGGAAGTGGAACACAGAGGACCAGGAGGGAGGGGATCAGGGAAAGTCACTGTGTGAATTCCCGCCTCTTTCTGGGCCCTCTTTTCTTCTCTTGCCTACTTCCCCAAAACCCCGAGATTAGGTTCTCAGTACCCAAAGAGATGGTCAAGTACGTTTCTAAATAAGCTACAGAGGCAATTCAGTGAGGCGTGAATGTGAGCCACTGCCTGTCATAAAGAGAGGAGGAGTCTCCAGGACCCCAGGTAGGTGGGTTCTAGAGTCAGGACACACTGGGGATCAGGTAGGTACTTGGGGCCCAAAGGCTTGAGTTCCTGTATTTGGGTCCAGGAGAGTTAAAAGACTGGGAGAGAATTAGGTACGTCAGGGCGTGGGAACTGGACTCCTGGGCTCCTGACAGTGATAAAAACTGGAACCAGGTTTCTGGGTCCCTAACAGGAGATGATGTTGGGATTCGGGTTGCCTGGATTCAGGAGGAGAAGCCCTTGATCAGCGATTTGAGCCCACCAGCCGCTCCTAGGGAGAAAAATGTGGCAATCAGTTTACATAAAGATGACTGTCTAGGAAATTGTATGGAGCGGTTCCCCTCTGTCTCATGGGGTCGTTATGGGTTGGAATCCATTAGAAGGCAACAGGGTTAGGGGTTCAGGGGATCTAAACCTTAGGATCAGGTGTTGAAAAGCAGAATCTATTGGGATGTTGGGTCTGAATTCCAATTCTTGCCTCTCCAGAATGTATGAAGAGAATGACACATGGAAAAAAGAGTGAGTAGCGAGTGGGATGAGTGAGAGAGAGGAGGAACTTAGTTACACTACCAGCCATTCAGTTCTTTTCTCTGTGTTTGCAATGTTTAGTACCATGGGATTTGCAGGAAGGGTTGGGGATTGGACTCCTGAGGGAGAAGGAAGCTGGGGCCCCAAACTCTTGGGTCTGAGGGAGAAGGGGAATGGGCTGGGACTTCTGAGTCCTGAGACAGGTGAGGCCCGGGATTCCTAAAACCTGGATACTAGATGGGCCAGTGCTGGGAGCAAGAGCTTCAGAACTGGTAAAGTAGGGGCAGACTTGGATTCCATACCTTCTGTGACGTCACATGTGCTTAGAATCCTAAGTTGGGCATGAGAAAGGAGGGAAGGAAAGGTTCTTGGATAACCGAGGCTGTCCTGTTTGCTTTCACCGTGAGCTTGCCTCTCTCTCAGGGCCCTGGGGGATGAACTAGCTACCACGAGAATGCAGAAGCTGGAGCAGCAGGTACTATTTCCCAGGAATCAGCCCCCCCCCACCCCCAGATTCTTCCATCTTCCCCACCTCCACAGGATCCTTACGGTCTTCAGTGACTCTTGGAGGCTCTGTTTCTCCTATTGGGAAATTAAAACAAAGGGGCGTGGTGGTGGAATTTGGGAGTTTAAGCAAAGTCTGGTGATGACTTCCAAAATTTATAAGGAATAAGAAAGGATTCCTTAGGCCATGGGACAAGAAATGGTGGTCTCTGGACTCCTGGGTTTGAGGAAGGAGGGTCTCAGGGCCTAGACATCTGGGACCCAAAGGAAAGAGAGCCCCAGGAACCCTCCCACCAATGTATGCCACCCCTTGACCCAGGTCCCATCTCACCCTTGTCTTCCCATTATGTCTCTGACCCCTTTGCTCCATCCTCCTGCCCTGCAGTGGAGGCTATTTGAGAAGAAACAGCGACGAAAGCGCCAAGAGCCGCTCATGGTTCAGGCCAACCCCGATGCTTCGCGGGGAACTCGGCGACCAAGGAGGCGGGAGGACTACCTCCGGAGTGACTACTATGGTGAGGAAACGCTTCCGGGGTCCGTTGGCCTGCCGAACCTGGGGGCGGGGTCAATAGGCCTCTGTAGTGCGAGGGGCGTGGCCTTCCGGTACCCTTTGGTTAGGGTCTAGTAGAATCGAAGGAGTCCTGGTGTGGTGTTGTGGGTTAATACGCCAGACTGCAAAGCTGTTTGAACTGCAAGCTTGGCGGTTCAAGCTCAACAGCCGCTCCTCGGAAACGCTATCCAGGGTCGCTATGGGTCGGAACCGACTCGATGACACTTAACAAGAAAACAACAACAGTAGAAGTTAGAGGCCTGGCCTTGCGTTAAGGGTGAGACCAAAGCTTGGGGGCGGGGCCTCGAGATTGCGAGGTGGTGGGGTAAGAGTTGGGCAAAAGGTGGGAAACAGAACTTAGGGATTGGGCCTGGTATCTGGGGGCGGAGCTTCGGAGAGCCAATGAGATGAATTACTTAGAGAGGAGCCTGTAGAAAGTGGCCTGCACTGGCAGACTAGGGGATGCAGTTTGGAAGGCCCTGGGGGGCGTGGCCCTGGAAGACTGGACACTGGCAGATGGAGGGCCCTGGAAGACGGGGTTCCAGGTAATGTAGAGTAAGTGGTCCTAAAGAGATTCTGTACGTGGGGTCTGCAAATGCTTATGAAAGGAGCCTGCAACAATTTGGTGATGAGACTGCTAGTTTGAGCCTTAGGCCACTCTGTGGGGACTGAGCGGGTCTAGGGGATTCTTTGATACTTGGACAATGTCTGGGAGTCCAGTGAGGGAGTAGGTCTTCTCTGAGAATGGGAATTTGTAGCTGGTTTAAATGAGCCTTGCTGTACCTTCTCCTAGGTCCTGGAAACGCTTTCCTCCAGGAGAACATTCCAGAAGCACATCTGAAGTCTGGTGCACACAATGCCCTCGGTACCATGAGCTGTGGTGGAGATGGCAATGGGGAGCGCAACCCCCTAGATGCCCTCACAGAAGCAGGTAACCTGGGCCCTGGGAGCTCTCCAGATCTCCCCTTCAACTGGGCCCTGGATTCTGGGAGCCAAGACCCAGAAATCCAGGCCCCTGCCTCTTTTCTGGTAGGACTCATGCAATCAGGTTACTGCTACGTCTTCCCCTAGTACCCCTCCTTCCTCCCAACCTGGAGTTCAGGCCCTGAACCTCTTCGGACTCCAGGAATCCAAGAGTCTCCAGCCTCTTCCTCCCCCAGTAATCTCAGGGAACCCAGAATCTACCCTAACCTTTTTTATCCTGGTTTCTAGACAGTTCAGATCTGGAGTTGGAGGAAGTCTCTATAGATGACATTCCCACCTCTCCCCCTCCTTATAAAGAACTTTTGAGGACTCGACGAAGGGGTTGGACAACCCGCCATCGACCTGGTAAATTGAGGAACATTCCTCAAATCCCCACCCACTACCTGACACCCCCTTCCTTTTTGGATATCAGTATTATTGTGATATAATTCACATACCATTGAATTCACCCCCTTCCAGTTTACGGCTTAATGAGTTTTAGAATGAAGGTTCCTGAGTTACACTAATGGTTTACATTTGGTTGTCTGTTGGAACCCACGCAGCACCAGGGAAGAAACAGGCCTGAAGACTCCAGCTAAGAAAACCCTACAGAGTTTGACTTTGTAATATATGGGGTCTTTGAAATCATAAATGAAGAATATCAACAGTGGGTTTTTAGTATGTTCACAGACTTGCACAACCATGAGCACAGTCAATATTGTAGAACATTTTTATCAACCCCAAAAGAAACCCCATATCCTTTAATAGCCATTCTTCATCTTCCCAAGTATCTGTAGATTCTATCTCTGTAGAATGGCCTATTCTAGACATTTCATACACATGAATCATATAGTATGTGATCTTTCATACACATGAATCATATAGCTGGTATCAATCAACTTTGAAGGACAAGAGCCATCTGAAGGACTGTAGACATTCAATATGTGTATTAAATGTTTAAGTGAATTATTACAAAGTGAATACAACCATGTAGGTACCACCAAAGTCAAGAAATAACATAGCTAGCTCCCCTAACACAGAGCCTCTGTGTTCTCTTTCAGTCACTCCTCTCATCTTTCCCAGCGGTCATCTCTGTCCTAATTTTTTCACTGAGCATTGAAACATAATATTCTGGTGATACTCCCTTTTGTTCACATGACATGGCCAATGATGTCAATGACTAGACTCTTAATTACCATCCCAAACTCTACTCTCATCCCCCTAGACTTAAATCCCAGTTGGGACCAAGGAAAGGGAGAACTTTTCTCAGAGACCTCTCATCCTGAGCAGAGACCCTTATGAACAGGGAGGATGAGGAGAATCTGCCAGGTGATGAGTAAGGGATGAGAATCCCAGAGCTCAGGCCTTCTTCAGCTACCACTGATGACCTTGTCCCCTATCTCCAAGACTTTGATGTCCTAAGCGTAGGTCTCGGCTTCTTCCACCCCCCAGGGTCCAGTGCTGAGGACAAAAGAAGAATCCAAGATGGTGGAGATGAATACATGGCACCCAGTCTGGAATTACCTGGAATGGATAGCATCCAATATGGTGGAGGCTTGGCTTCCAACAAAATGGTAGACGCTTGACTAGTTTGGATGGAGAAGGGTAGCCTCAGACTTGTACCGAGGGCATCCTGATGGGCTGATCCACCAAGTCAATAGTGATTGGGTTAGCAGAGGATCTGTGTGAGAGATCTCAAATCAGTCTAGAGAATTTGAACTGGAGTGGGCACACCTATTAGAACCCAACCCAATTAAAGGCATCATGTTTTGGAGAGGACAGAAGAGTGAAACAACGGATTTTGGTTATGGTGAAAGTACAAGTGGTAATTCCACTGGAGTAGATCTGGGCCGGAATATATGGGATCTAGGGAGTCTTGGAGCTCTGGTAGGGTAGTGGTTACGAATCGGGCTGCAAACCTCAAGGTCAGCAGTTCGAAACTACCAGCTGTTCCGCGGGAGAAAGATGAGGCTTTCTGCTCTCATAAAGATTTACAGCCTCGGAAACCCTGTACAGGGTCGCTATGAGTCGGAACTGACTCCACGGTACACAACAAGGGAGTCTTGGTGGGGAACTACAGGATAATGCATGCGCTGGATCGCTGACCGGTTTGAACTACAAGGTCGGCGGTTCAAACCTACCAGCCGCTCCTCAGAAACTCTATAAGGGGCCGCTATGGGTTGGAACCGACTCCACCCCACTTAACAACAACAAAGTGAATCCTTGAGCCGTGGTGTGACACTGTAGGATAAGCACCGGACCATAAGGCCTGTTTGAACCGTAAGGCCGTTGGTTCAAACTTACTTGGAAACTCTACACAGAGTCACTAGAAGTCGGAAGCAATTCAACAGCACTTAACTGCAAAAAAAAAAAAATAAAAATAATCCAGTCAACACGTTTATAAGAGTGGGCAGTGTTCCCAAAGAGATCCTCCAATCAGAAGATAAAGTGGGCGTTGATGAATACGGCTGGCCAATCGACCAAAGATAAGGGCTTGGGTGGGTGGGCCACTGGTCAAGCATTAGGGTTTGATTGGGCAATTGATTCATACGCTTGACTAATAGAAAATAAGGGCGGGTGTAGGGGTGGGCAGAACCCTAAAAACAGGGATAGTCAATAATTGTCCCTCAACTTTGAATGTGTCCTGTGGGCTAGGGTGAAGACCTGGGTACCCAGGTAAATAAAGAGGAGCTGGAACCTGCATTGAGGACCTTCTCAGGGGCAGCCCACCAAGAGGTGTTCCAATACCCGGAAAGCGAGGACGGCTCGGGAAGTGGAGACGTGGGGAACACACATCGCTTGCCACTCCGGGCCCCAGGTCCTCGGCTGGGCGAGGATATGGAGGCATACATGTTGCGGCCGGCGCTGCGGGGACACACAGTTCAATGCCGCATCAGCCGGGACAAGCGTGGCGTAGACAAGGGACTGTTTCCCTTCTATTACCTGTATCTAGAAGCAGCCGATGGCCGGAAGGTACGATGAGGTGTTTCACAGACCGTTCAGCCCCTGTAGCCTCTCCCCCCGAGCAAGCCTCACTTTCCAGGCACCGACCCGTCTTGCCCCTTTCTGAGGTGGGTTCAAGGCTTTCATCAATTCAGGATTTGCTTATGACAGAGCTATGTTTATTGGGTGCCATCAAGTGGATTACATACCATAGCACCCTTTTTTGTCAGAGTAGAGCTGCCCCCTAGCATTTCTTAAGACAGTCGTCTGGTGTGGCTGTGGGATCATGCACTGGAAAGCAAAGTCGGTTTGAACTTCAATATCAGTGATTCAAATTCACCAACCGCTCCTTGGGCACCTTTTACGGGGTTGCTATGAGTCACAACTGACTCGACGGCACTTAACAACAACAATATCTTTAAGGGAGCTGACCACACAAGGTCTTTTCTCCCATGGAACTGCTGATGTGTTTGCACTTGGTTGCTAACCAAGTGACTGTCCCTTGGAAGCCACCCAGCACCACAGAAGAAAACAGACCTGGAGAGCTTCCCTGAAGCTTCCAGCCAAGTGCTTTTGACAGAGTTTTTTCCTCTTTATTTACATTCAGGTGCTAACCCTAGCCCATAGGACACATTCAGAGTTAACAGACAGCAATTAGTGATTGGTCATCCCTGTCCAGAGTCTGTCCACTCCCGCCCATATTTTCTATCTATTTAGTCAAGCATCTTAATCACCAATCTTTTGGTTAGCAGCCAAGCACTTACCACCAGGTATCACCAGGACATCATATTACCTCTCAACCTCAGTGCCAAGCCTTGTCCACTCTAGATACAAAACCATTTTTTTGGTTTTCCTCAAAGTCAAGCCAGCCAGCCAGCCAAGTGTCCCCAAACTCCACCTGTTACACACCCTCTGTTGGCATTGGTCTGACTTTTGTTAGCCCAAGACCCATTCCTTAGAGAACCCTACCAAGTCCATGATAAACCTTGTCCCTCTGAAACCAAAACCCACTTCTCACTGATGTTCCATTCAGGAGCCAAGCCCCACATCTCCCAGCAGACCTTGGGATGTCATGGCTCTATTGACCTGTCTTCTGTCACAGGCAAATGGCATTCTCTTTCTTCAGACCCTTAACCGCAATCAGATGCCAGAATTCAATTGTAATGAGCTGTTCTCCCATCCACAGCACTTCCTCCTGGCTGGGCGGAAGAGAAAAAGGAGTACAACCTCTAATTATCTCATCTCCTTGGACCCTACAGACTTGTCTAGAGATGGGGACTATTTTGTGGGCAAAGTCAGGTGGGCAGAACCCTGATGTGCGCGAGAAATTGATGTGGGAGGAAGGCGGGGAGGAAAGAGTAAAAATGGACTACATTTACCAGCAAGAAACACAGCACACAAGTTCCAACTCTTCATGTTAGAGTTTCTCCCTTCCTTCTCAATATAGTTGGGACTAGAAGGGCACTTAAGTTCTGAAGGCTTTAGAGCAAGGGATGGTATTCAAGACTTTCGACTTCAGTCCTTGTGGGAAAATTGAGCTAAGATGTGTGAGTTCTTACATCCTCGAGGGAAGGGAGTCCTTTAAGGGACCAGGCAGAAGGATAAAAAAATATGACCCATCAAAGAAAGATGGGATTGGGATCGTGGATACTGGTTTCTGAGGAAGCCAACTTTAGCAGGGAGGATGGAAAGGGTTAAAGAGCTAGGCCCATGAATAGGAAGGAAAACATGTACCATGTCTGAGGTTTCTCAGTAGGAAAGAGAACCTACTGTTTAGGAGCTGAGAACTGAGGGTGAAATTGATCTGGGTTTGAATCCCAGCTCAAGTTTGATCTGGCAAAGGAAGGATGTCACCTCATGGAAACTTAGTTTCTCATCTGTGCAAGGGGAATGTAATTCCTACCTTAGAGAGCTGAAAGGGAACTGTTGTTCAAAGATGACATTCATATACAGCCACACAGTAACAATTCTTATACCTTTTTTCTACCTTTCCCCTTGTGGAGTAGATCCAATATTTTGGGCACCAAATTCATCATCTTTGACAATGGGGTAAACCCTGACCGGAAGAATTGTGTCCCAGAGACTGCCCGGATCAGGGAGGAGCTGGGAGCTGTGTGTTATGTGAGTGTCTGGAGATGAGAGAATAGGGCGGTGGGGAGACAAGAGAAAACAAACCAACTGAAGTATGATACCCCTAGGAGACCAACGTCTTGGGATTCCGGGGACCCCGGAAAATGACTGTGATCATTCCAGGATTCGATGCCCAGAACCGGAGAATCAGGGTCCAGCCACAAAATGTGAGTCCTTCAGTCAGTGGAGGGTGGAGGGTAAGTTGCAGATTACATGTGAATTGGCAGGACTTTGTCAAACACTTGTCAATAACAGAGCAGAGAATAATGTTTTTGTTATTAAGTGCCTTGAGTCGGTTCTGACTCAAAGCAACCTTGTATAGGGTTTCCAAGGAGCAGCTGGTGGGTTTGAACCTTTGACCTTGTAGTTAGCTATCCAGTGCTTATCCTACAGTGCCACACCAGGCCTCCGAGCAGAGAATTTTGGTGATGGTGGTTGTGTGCCACTGAACGGGTACCAACTCATAGTGATTCTTTGTAGGGTTTCAGTGTTTGTAAATCTTTACCAGGGCAGAAAACGTCATCTTTCTCCTACAGAGCGACATGTAGATTTGAACTGCTGACTTTGTAGCTAGCAGCCCAGCTCGTAAACCAGTCGTCCACCTGGCCTTTTTGAGCAGAGACTGTTGTTAAGTGCTATTGCATTTATTCCAACTCAGAGTGACCTTTTACAGGGTTTTCGAAGAGCAGCTGTTGGGTTTGAACCACCGATGATCTTGTTCTTTGCAGTCCAGTACTTATCCTACAAGAGTATGTTGTTGTTTTTGTTGTTGTTAAGTGCTGTCGAGTGTAGAGTCGATTCTGGCTCAGTGACTCTCTATAGTGTTTCCCAGGAGTCACTGGTGGGTTTGAAAAGCTGACCTTGCAGTTCAAACCTACCTTTTGGTCCAATGCTTATCTTACAGTGCCACACCAGGAGTGCACTGTTGTTGTTGTAAGTGTCCTTGAGTCATTTCCGACTCATACAGACCCTATATATGATTTCCAAGGAGCGGCTGGTAAATTTGAAACACCGATCTTAACAGTTAACTCAAACTGACCTTGTGATCCAGCATCATCCTACAGTGCCACCCCAAAATTCTATGTTCTGAGAAAAGAAAGCAGGTTGGTGGGATCCAACTTTGCCTTATAGGAACAAGAGTCATTACTGAATCGCCTCCAGCGAGGAATCAGCCAAGGGCTGATTCTGCTGCAAAACAAAGCCCCATCCTGGAGCGATGAGAGCAGCGCCTACGTGCTCGATTTCCACGGTCGAGTCACTCGGGCCTCAGTCAAAAATTTCCAGATCGTCCATCCAGAAGACCGTGAGTTCCTAGGAACCAGTTTCTCGGGGCAAGGGGGCGTAAACGGTCGAGAACTACTTCTCCCATCACCACTTGGGGGTTTCTCAAGGAAGGAAAAACACCATGTAGTAGCAAAGCCTTCTGGGAATTATAGTTTACCGCGCTTTCGGAGCGTTTCGGAGCACAGCCTATGGGAGTCGTAGTATTTGCAACTCAGGTGCCCACGGCAGGGACCTGAGGGGATACAGGGAAGGCTTTATTTAGTTCCTGACTCTCCTTGCAGCCGACTACCTGGTGCTTCAGTTCGGCCGTGTGGCCCCAGACACGTTCACCATGGACTTCTGCTACCCACTTTGTCCGCTCCAAGCCTTCGCTATCTGCTTGTCCAGCTTTGATGGGAAGCTGGCATGTGAGTAAACCAATAAAATGCCGCTCCCCTGACCAGCTTCTGTGCCTGCTCACTACATTAATTATAATAATCAATATGTTAGTAGTTCAAGCACACCCAGAAGAAAGGCATATCAATCTATTTCTAAAATATCATAGAAAACCGTATGGAGCACACAGTTCTACTGTGACACCCTTAGGGTCACCTTGAGTGAAAATCGTCTCCATGGCAACTTTTTTGTGTTTTGTTTTCATACGCTGCCAAGAAACTAGCGGAGCCAAAGGGAGCAAGGGTGGGAAGATTTGGTGGTAGGCATAGTTCAAACAAAAGTCTTAGACGTGGGAGGGGGCTTGGTTGGTTTAAGGTAATGAAAGGGTAATGTTGAGAATGTAGAGAGTTCAAGGAAATTCAGGCTTACTAAGGAAATAACCACGAGATGGCAGTGTTGCACAACAGGTTGTATATTGTGTTACGTGCCGTTGAGTCTGCTCCGACCCACAGTGACCGACGCTGTATATCTTTACGGGAGCAGAAAGCCTCATCTTTTTCCCGAGGAGCGGCTGGTAGTTTCGAACTGCTGATCTTAAGGTTTGCAGCCCGATTTCGTAACCCAGAGCTCTTTTGGATTGACTTAATTAACTGCTAGTCAACTGGACAGTAGGATTAATAATATGTTGTGGGGTTAATGCGCTAGACTGCAAAGTCGGTTTGAACCACAATGTTGGCAGTTCAAGCTCACCAGCCTCTCATAGGAAACCCTATACAGGGTCACTATGGATTGGAACCGACTCAAAGGCATTTAACAACAACAATTTAGGATCCTGGAGAAGGGAAAGAGCAGAAGGGACATTCCCCTTCAAAAGAAAGAAAAAGAAGGGACTCCCTCTGTAGTTGTATGGCTCCATAGAATTAGCACTGGACTTTGAACCACATGGTCCATGGTTCGAGCCTGTCAGCTGTTCTGTGGGAGAAAGATGAGGCTTTCTGCTTCTGTGAAGATTTAAAGCCTCACAAATTCTATGCAGGATTACTATGCTTTTGAACCCACTGGAACAACAACTGTGTAGCAAGGTGGGGAGACTGGGTGAGATACTCTGAGGGTAGCGGTTATTTCCGGTTCCTGTAAGTCCTGGTATAGCTGTTTTTTTTATTTTTTATTATAATCTTTAGCAAAATTTTACTTGCATGGGATATTAATGATATTGGTCCAATGATTTCCACATTCCATTGGATCACCTCTCTTTGGAATGGGCACAAATATGAATCGTTTCCAGTCAGTTGGCCAGGTAGCTGTGTTCCAAATTTCTTGGCATGGATGAGTGAGTGTCTCCAGTGCTGCATCAATTTGTTGAAAGATTTCTCTTTGTATTCTATCAGTTCCTCCCAGAGCCTTGTTCTCTGCCAATGCCTTTAGTGCACCTTGGCTCTTGATCATATGCTGTCCATGTAAGTCCTAGAATCCTGTAGGATCAGCACTGGACTGCTAACAGAGGCGATTTTAGGCTTATTTATAAATCAAGTCATGACCTGTCAGTTTGTCTTATTGTGGTGAGAGCTATGCCACTGGAATTTCAAACACCAGCTGAGTCACAAAGGTGGACAGGTTTCAGTAGCGCTTCTACACTAAGACAAACTAGGAAGAAAGGCCTAGAGACCTACTTATGAAAATGCTATGGATCCCAACAAAATATAGTCTGATAGAGTGCTGAAAGATGAGCCCTGTAGGCTAGAAGGTGCTGGAAATATACAGAGGCCACATAAATGGACGCTAGAGTGCCACCATTCATGAAGATGTTGCAAACCAGGGAAAGTTCTGTTGTATATAAGGAGGCCATGAGCTGGGGCTAACAATACAATAAATGGAAGAATGACAGGCTATGAGGTTTGATAGGAAACAGTACATTTGGCTGGCTCCAGCTTTGAACCAATGGATATATCCTGTGAGGTCAGAGAATTCTAGGCTGGAGATGTAAACATATATGATAATTGAATATATGCGTGGATGAAAGAAAGAAGTGTGATACTTTTGTTGTTGGGTGCCATTCAATTGATTGTGACTCCTAACAACCTTATGTGACTGAGTGGAACTGTCCCATAGGGATTTCGATGTTGGAGCCAATACAACTGGGGCCAACTGCCACGTCCGACAATTGGCTTATCTCTACCAGCTGCACAGACAGGAGATGAGAACTAAAAGAAAGACACAAGACACATTTGAAATGTAGAATAGTTGGCACCAGGTGGGACCCAGCACTCTGATGGAGATACTGCGATATTGACTAAGGCAGCTCGTTTATTTCATACTCAGCACAAGGGGAGGTGCTTGAGGGAGGGTAAGGAGAACAAGAACATCTTGTACTGAAGGAGCCAGCAGTAAGTGGAACTTTATCAGAAAAACTGTAACTTGTGGTAGCTAGCTGGAACACTGTTTAGGGCAGCTAGAATGTTGCGTGGGCTGAGCTGAAGGACATAGCTAAATACAAGGGAAGATCTTGCAAGTTCCCTGTCCCATGATGCAGACCTGCAAGTTCTGGACCACAGCTGTTCAGTTGCAATCCTTTGGTTAAACTAGCCCCAAGTCAGGGACCTTAGGCTCAGCTGCTCCAAACATTTCTAGGCTGTAATCTTTATGAAAGTGGATTGTCTGATATTGGGGGTCCAGCCCAGAAGGGAAAAGCAAGTACTTCTACATATGTAGTTGCCAAGAGATCAAAAAAAAAAAAAAAACCCCATCCAGGACCCAATTCAAGAGACTTTGGTTGATTACAGAAAAGAAAAGATATGGTTTGCTGACAAAGAAAGTTACTTACAAAGGATAAAAACAATTGTTTCCAGTGGTGACTAGCTGGACAGTGAAGTCTTTCCACATGAGGGGCATGGGCTAGAGTCTTTTTATATCATGGCGTATTCAAGTTTCACACCATCAGAGCAGTTAAGGGTGGAATAAGGAACATGGAAAAGGTAGGAAGATCATTAGGCACAGGGCTGCCTGCCCCTCCCTACAGAACAAAGAGTTTTGGTATACCAGGAGGAGGAAGCAGTGTGCTCCTTCCTAGACAGCAGAAATGGGGAAAGCATAGGAGATATGGTTTGAGTTGACACTGTTGTTGTTTAGTGCCATCAAGTGGGTTCTGACTCATAGTGATCTTGTATAGGGTTTCTGAGGAGCAGCTGGTAAGTTTGAACTACGGACCTTGTTATTCAAACCGACCTTGCCTTCCAGTGTTTATCCAACAGCGCCACACTGGGACTAGGAAAGGTGTGTTCCAGAGCTGTATTCTTTCACCATATTTATTCAATCTGCATGCTGAGCAAATAATCTGAGAAACTGGATTATATGAAAAACATGGCATCAGGATTGGTGTAAAGATTCATCAACCACCTGCGAAATGCAGATGATACAACTTTGCTTGCTAAAGTGAAGAAGACTTAAGACCCTACTTAAGATCAAAGACTTTGTATGGCTTGTGCCTCAATGTAAAAAAACAACAAAAATCCTCACCACTGGACCAATGAATAACATCAAGATAAGTGGAGAAAAGATTGACGTTATCAAAAACTTCATTCTGTTTGGATCAACCATCAACACTCACAGAAGCAGCAATCAAGAATTCTAATGTATTCCATTAGCCAAACCTGCTGCACAGGACCTCTTTAAAGTGTTCAAGAGCAAAGATGTTAGTTTGAAGACTAAGGCAAGGTGTACCTGACCCAAAATACAGCATTTTCAATAACCTGATATGCATGCAAAAGTTGGACAATGGATAAGGAAGACTGTAGAATTGATGCATTTGAGTTTTGGTGCTGGAGGAGAATATTAAAGTACCATGGAGTCCTGGTGTGGTGCTGTGGGTTAATGTGCTGGACTACGACAGTTTGAACTGCAAAGTCGGAGGTCCAAGTTCACCAGCCTCGGAAACCCTTTACAGGGTCACTATGGGTTGGAACTGACTATGCGGCACTTAACATAGAATCTGTGTTGGAAGAAGTACAGCTAGAATGCTCTAGAAGCCAGAATGTCCAGGCTTGGTTCCTCATACTTCCAATGTATTATCAGAAGGGACCAGTCCCTGGAGAACATCATGCTTGATTAAAGTGGAGGGTCAGCAAAAGGAGATAGACTGGCACAGTGGGCTCAAGTGTAGTAACGATTGTGAGATTCTGTTTCTATAGGGTCACTATGACTAGGTACCAACTAGGAGGGACCTGACAACAATCTTTAAACCGGAAGCTAAAAATGCCCCTTGAAGTCTTCATAATAAGAACAACAGTTTAGCTTATCTAGTAAAAAAAAGAACCAAGTCTACGTTGAGTCTCGGCACTTTTTCAAGAGCTATCTATATGGTATTATAAGGAGCTCTGGTAGCGTAATGGTTACAAGTTGGGTTGCCAACCTCAAGGTCAGCAGTTTGAAACTACCAGCTGTTCCATGGGAGAAGGATGAGGCTTTCTGCTCCCGTACAGATTTACAGCCTCGGAAACCCTGTACAGGGTCGCTATGAGTTGGAAGCGACTCCACGGTACTTAACAACATATGGTATATTAACAGGAACTGCAAAGGTTAGATAGAAACCTTAGGGATGTCTGAGTGCGAACACTAGACTGACTCTGCTAGGAATGAAAAAAAAAAGTCTAGGGAGAGAATCATTTCAAAATAGGGAGACATTACAAGTATTCATGTAAGATGTGCGGTGTTCCAAATTGCAGGAAGGACCACTGTTGTTATATGCTGTTGGGTTGTTGCTGTTATGTGCCATGGAGTTGGTTCCGACTCATAGCGACCCTGTACAGGGTTTCTGAGGCTGTAAATCTTTACAGGAGCAGAAAGCCTCATGTTTCTCCCACAGAACAGCTGGTAGTTTCGAACTGCCGACCTGGTTTGTAGCCACCATGCTAACAGAACTCCTTATGCTGTTGGGTAGGAGTTTTTAAAGGGATGTGTGCTCACAGGCACTTAGAAGAGGCATACTGGTTGGCAAACTTATAAGGTTTGTTTCCATAAACTCATTGATCACATTCTGAGGTTGTTACGTGTTTGAGTTAACATTTTGTTAGCAGCTAATATTTCTGTTACCTAATAATTCAATTTTGACTTTAGTTACAAATTTACAATTAGTGGGAAATCCTAGTGAGTGAAATATGGGAGTGTGGTTAAATGCCGCATAGTTGGTTCTAAACCATAGTAATCCTGTGTAGGGTTTCCTAGGAGCAGCTGGTGTGTTTCAATTGCCAACCTTGCAATTCAAACTGACTTTCCAGTCCAGTGCATTATCCAGCAATGCCACACCAGGGAAAGTCAATTAAGACTTGATAAATACTTAATGTACTTACAAACTTATTTATGGGTTCTAAGACTGGAGTCCTGGTGTGGTACTGCAGGTTAATGCGCTGGACCGCAAAGTTGGTTTGAACCACAAGGTCGGGTGGTTCAAGCTCACCAGGCACTCCTTGGGAACCCTATACGGGATCACTATGAGTCTGAAGAGACTCAGTACATAACAAAAGCACTGGAACCAACTTGACCTACATTTAACAAGTACCCCACAGGGGCAATGAATACACACATTAATGAGGGAGGAACAACCCAGACAATGGCGAAAATGGTTGCACAAATAGAATGTAAGTCAATGTTAGTGAATTGTACATGCAGAAATTGTTGAATTGGTGTATATATCTTTGCTGTGTATATTTTTGACAAAAGTATAAGCTTTAGGGTAAAACAAAACAAAAACCTATGGATATTCTACGGTAAAACTACAAAGCCCACCAGCTCTTATTTCAAAAAGACTCTCAGTATAGGGAAGAGCAGTCTTGAGGGATGATGGGAAATGTAGTTTTTAATCCTCTACTGAAGCATTAGTCCTAACACTGTTCCTCCCAACAATTTCCAGTACACAGGCTGCTGTCAGTTCAGAGACATTGCTTCTTAGAAACCAAAGGCTTTATTCTTCATATAAACTAACACTTTAAATAAATAAATAAATAACACACACACACACACACACACACACACACACACACAAACCAAGTGGTCTTAGCCACGCCTTTCCCCGAGGGGCGGACCAGGGGCGGAGGAGGGTGTGGCTACCGTGGGGTTCAAGTGAGTGGAGGGTAGAGAGGGCACCGAGAGGCAGGAGGAGGCAGGCGTGGTCTGGGTAGGGACAGATATGGGGGCCAGAGAAAGGGGTGGATTCCCGAGGCGTGCCCAGGCCCTGGCTCTGGCGGCATGGGAGAGGCAGGGGCCCAGTTCCTCTTGGGCGCGGGCGATGCGGCAGGCAAAGCGACTGCGGTCCCGGGCCAGCTGCTCCCAAGGACCCCGGCGGGCTGCTTGAGCAGGTCCCGCCCAGACGACCAGATGATGAACAGAGACCTTCTCTGCGAAGCGCACCTGGGGGCGGACCAGCAGAGGCAGGTGGAGACAAGATGACACAGAGAAAATGCAAGAGAGAGAACCAAACAAATGAGTTACACACAAATGCTGTCTGGCTAGTCACGCACCTGCCACAGAATTTGAATCACTGACAATACAGGTGTCTCCCCAGGGGCTGACATGAGTCACCACTAATTCTTGCTCCCCAGGAAATCCCAGATGTCTAGCTTCTTGCAAAGGATTGCATTACTGGTTACAAAAACTCTCCCAACAGAGTTCACACGCAAGCTCCTGTAACCCCCTGGAGACCTTCCCCCAAATCTCCATTATCTGGGCCCTCGGTACCCACCTTTGTGGCCTTTTGGGGAATCTCAGGGTCTGGATTCCAGGCTGGGGTTTGTAAGCACTTCAGCCGCTGTTGGAGTCGGAGGGGCAGCCTAGGAGGCGCCCAGGAAGCTGGGGGCTTCTCTCCAGGTAAATAGAAGACCACTCGGAGAGGGCAGGGCTCCGCCTCTTCCCATTCTTCTTCCTCAGTGTCCTCTCCAACTTGAGAGATCCAGGTCCTGAGGGCACTTTGGAAGGGATGTGGTCCTGAGTCAGCTGCTTCTGAATCATCTCTTCCATCCTCATTCCCCTCATAGTCTTCCTCCTCCTCTGTGTCTTCTCCAGGCTGATACACCCAGGCCTTCAGAAATGCACTTGTGCATGGGTTTGGGGAAGGACTCTCAGGTTCTCCTTCCTCCTCAGCTGCCCATGAAGTATCATCCTCCTCCTCCTCTTCTGTGTCTTCTCCAGGCCGATACACCCAGGCCTTCAGAAAGGCACTTGTGCATGGGCTAGAAGAAGGCCCCTCAGCTACTCCTTCCTCCTCAGGTGCTTCTGAATCACTGTCCTCTGTGTCTTCTCCAGGCCAATACACCCAGGCCTTCAGAAAGGCACTTGTGAATGGGTTGGGGGAAGGACTCTGAGGCTGTCCTTCCTCCTCAGCTGCCCATGAAGCACCATCCTCCTCCTCTTCTTCTGTGTCTTCTCCAGGCCGATACACCCAGGCCTTCAGAAAGGCACTTGTGGATGGGTCTGGGGAAGGACTCTCAGGTTCTCCCTCCTCCTCAGCTGCCCATGAAGCACCATCCTCCTCATCTTCTTCCTCTGTCCTCTTCTTGGGTTGATACTCCCAGGACTTGGCAGAGTGTGCCTCTGAGCCAGTCTTTGCTTTCTCAGCTATTTCCTTTGTATCTCTATCCCTCTCTTCCTTAGATTCTCCTGAACAACATTCCCAGGTCTTGGGGTTAGAGCCTGAACATGAAGGGGGCATGGCAGTCTTTGTGACTTCTTTATTCTTGGCAGTTCTATCTTTCTCCTCCTCTCCCTCCCCTGGACAACACACCCAAGTGCTGAGCTGAGAGTCTGGAGATAAGGGAGGGGAAGAGGGCCTTGAAGCTGCTCTCTTTACAACTTCTCCACCCTTATCTTCTTTTTCCCCTGGCCCTGGATAGCTCTCCCAGGGTGATGGGGGATAAGAGAAGGCCTTGGTCATTTCTGTATTGTCAGCAGCCCTGTCTTCCTCAGATTCCTCTTCCCCAAGAGGATGCTGCAGGGTTCTTCTCAGAAGGCTGGGGGGCAGGGGGGCAGCTTGGCTGGCTGTAAGTTCACTTTCCTGTTCTTTAGCCACACTAGTTGCTTCTTTCTCCGTATACGCTTCATCATCAACATTTGAAGCATCAAGAAAATAACTATTGGCCTTGCGGGCAGGGCAGATACGCATGTCTGCTTCCCCCTTCTCAGCGGCTCCACTGTCTTCAGCCTCCCCCAGTGGTTGCTTGCCCCAGGTGGCATGGTGGAAGGCCAGAGAAGTTTCCACTTCTTCCTCCAGTGCAGCCTCTTCTGTTACTGCTTCCAACAACCAGGACTCTGGAGGTCCTGGGCCCTTCAAGCGACTCCAAGCCCGGCTGAGGAGGCCCACCAGTGGAGACAGGAGGAAGAAGGGATGGGCATTCCTCCAGGGGCTGTCCAGAGGGGATGCTTGGCCTGGAGCCATGTTTCTCGGCTGGGGAGAAAAGGGAGGAGAAAAATACTGAATAAAGTCTAAGGTCCATTTAGGTGACAGCATCAAAACAAGACCTTGAGTCATAGCCAGGGGATTAGCAACATAAGAGCAACAATGGGGCTCCTTCCTAAATTCCTTTAGGATTCCAGCCACTCCCATCTCTGATTGCTGGTTCTTTTGTTCCTCCTCACTCCATTCTCAGGGGCCAGTCTCCTTCCTTAGACCTAAGAGTCCAAGCCCCTAACCCCTTCTGCCCTCATACCCAGAAGTCCTGGTCCAAAGAACCAAGAACAAGGGTAATTTCCTTACTTCTCCTGAGGAGAAATTCCCATTCCAGGTTCTCTCAACCAAGAGAAGGCCCTTATCATACTTCCTCCATTGGAGACTCAAAACCTCCAGACCCTAGAGAATCCACCACTCCACTCCTAGACCCCAGAGGAGCCACTAGTGGGGAGGAAAGTGTAGACCACATCAAGTGACACATCAGAGAAGATGACACCAAAATGACTAAAATTGTATGCAGTGTTTCGGCAGAAATGTAGATTTTTTTCTAAAAATATCACTGAAGTTAATAACAAAAACATTTTTTGGTAAGTTCAGCTTGTTGTTGTTGTTAAGTGCCGTGGAGTCGGTTCCGACCCATAGCGACCCTGTACAGGGTTTCCGAGGGTGTAAATCTTTACGGGAGTAGAAAGCTTAGAGGTGTCAATATACCTGTTGTTGTAAATTGCAGTTGAGTCCCTTTGTGACTCACAGTGACCCAAGGTTTCCAAGGCTATAAATCTTTTAGGGAGTAGAAAGCTGATGGAGTTAAACCACTGACCCTGGCTTATCCTACAGAGGCAAGGTGCTGGCTCAATATACCTACAAGATTAAAATTATACTCATTTACTTTTTGAACCTTCCAGTGCCTTCTCGTCAGAGCAGTCATTTGTTACTCATCGCAATGCTATTTTAAATCACGTGGTTTCATTTGCATAGGCTACAAGTTAGCGCTGGTGTTCTCCTTGCTAACTGCCCTGTTTCATAGTTTTTTATTTTGCCAAATTTTCTGGTGTATTAGCTACAATATTGTGTAAAACTAGTATTAGTGAATTTGTGTCAAAAAACTTGTGGCGAACGAAGTAGTAATTAAAGGAAAAGGAGAAAAATAAAACAGGTGTCTGCTCAGTTATTAATGTTGTAACTAATGTAATTCAATGTTGAAAGAGTTTACAAAACAATTCTGTTGTTACTATTCAGATAATCTAAGAAATGTTACGTTTAAGCAATTTACAGTTATATTTATCACATTATTCGATTATGAAAATTGTAGGATAGGTTCAAGAGAAGGTACGGGGGATGTGTGTGACAAGCCTAGTTTAGCCACTGCCAGACTCTCTAGCCTCGAATCCCCTTGCTTCGGAACCCAGACGCCCAAGCTCTCTCCTTGGTTAGTGACCAGGAGTCTGGCCTTCTAACACCCAGCCCCCTGTGGACCCAGGCGTCCCGACCTCTTACTCACCGGTTCGGGTTACTTGTCACCCGGGAGGCAGGAGCGCCGGCTCGGGCTGCCAGAAGCGATCGCAGGTCCGGGCGGTTCTGGAGTCCGGCGCGTTCATCTCGCCCTCAGGCGTTGGGCTGGGAGTCTTAAAGTAAGCGCTGTAGCTATAAGCTGGACGGGGTCGTGCGGCTTACAACGTGAAATCAACAACTGGGCTGGAAGTCGGTGTGATAAGCAATGACACGTCCGGCGACGTTTTTATTCACTAACGTTTGGACGTGATGACATCACGCAAAGAGGCGGGGTTTCGAGACGTCGACGCCGGTAGGTGGAAAAGGAAAAAGGAACTGCGCTCGCGGAGATTCCGAGACTTTGTAAGGTCACGTCGACGTTTCGATTGTGGCCACGCCCTCGAGCAAGGGCGCTGTCAATCAAACGCAAAGCTCGGGAAAACTTCCTTTAACCCATAGATTCCCTAAAGAAACGCCTTCTCACCCTATAGTAATCTACAGGCTCCCGTTTGGATTCTCCCATCCTCACTTGCGTCCTGCTTCCTTCCTGTTTGTTGCTGTAAGGCCGATTCCGACTCAGAGCGACCCCATACACAACAGAATGAAACAGCGCTGGACCCTGCGCCATCCTCACAATTGTTCGCCTGAATCCATTGCTGCTGCCACTGTGCCAGCCCATCTTGTTGAGGGTCTTCCTTTTTTTTTCCCCGCTGACCCTCCACTAAGCATGAGGTTATTCTCCAGGAACTGGCCCCTCTTAACAGTATGTCTGAAGTATGAGAGATGAAATCTGACCATCCTGGCTTCTAAGGAGCATTCTGGCAATACTTTTTCCAACATAGATTTATTTGTTCTTCTGACAGTTCATGATACTTGTCAGTATTCCTTCCTGGTGTGGGAGGGCATTACTGTTCCCACTTCACGGAAACTGAGCTCCTAGAGATCACGAAGCAGGCCCACAACGAAGTCCAGATTCATTCCAAATGAGAACGCAAATGCAAATGTGGGTACCGTCAAGACAGGCACTTTAATTACTGCTTGCTTCTCAGTGGGTCGATAGTGCTGCATCTCAGGTGCTCAATCAAGAGGAGGCTTCAAAAAGTTTGTGGAAAACTGTGATTAACAGATAATGGATTTTTTCTACCAACTTCTGAAGTCCCCTTGAATATGATGTTGTTGTTGTTGTTGTTGTTAAATACTGTAGAGTGGATTCTGACCCAGAGCGACCCTGTATAGGGTTTCTGAGGAGCAACTGGTGAGCTTGAACTGCCGACCTTACAGTTCAAACGGTTTTGCAGTCTGGCGCATTAACCCACAACGCCACACCAGGACTGGTGAATGCATGCTAAATAGAAATTTCTTACTCTTTCCCAGTCACTATGCATTGGAATCCACCAACAGCTGGCAGGGGTTGGTTTTGGTTTCCATTTTGGTTTCCCAGTCATCCCCAGATGCCTCCTTTCTGGATCTCATCTGCTTCAATTTCTATTTGCTCAAATGAGAATTCTTCCAGGCCCAGTCCTCAGTCCCTTTCCCCTCCAAAAATAACCCAAACAAGTTACCTTGGAGTCCACTCTTACTTGTAAGGGCTTCCATGTGGGTCAGAGTGCTCTGCTCGGTGGAGTTTTCAATGGCTGATTTTTGAATGTAGTTACCAGGCGTTTCCTCTGAGGCACCTGTGGCAGACTTGAACCTCCAAACCCTTTCAGTAAGGAGCCAAGTTCACGATCAGGGACTACCCTCCTCCCCTAAAGCCCAAACTTTCTGCCTTAGAGTCAGCTTCTGTTCATAGAAATCTAACAGTTCTACGCTACAGTAGCAGAAGTGTTCCATTGTTTTCCAAGGCTGTAATCTTTACAGAAGCTGACAGCCTCATCTTTCCCTCTTGGAGTGGCTGGTGGGTTCTAACTCCTCTTTTCGTTAGCAGCCCAATGCTTATCTCACCGCATCACCAGAGTTCCTTCCCTCCTCTCCTGTTGCTGTTAAAAGTTCTTGAGTCCGTTCAGACTCAGGGACTGTGTCCAGGGATTCTGAGGCTTTAAATCTTCTTGGGAGCAGAAAGCCATATCGCAGCCGGTGGGCTCAAACCGTTGACCTTGTGTTTTTCATTGAGGTCTTAAGCCTGCCTCTCCAGCCACAGCCAGCAACTGTATCTTCCCTAGGGAGCCTTCTCTTCAGTCAAGACTAGAATTCTCACCTGGATCTGAAGGTGAAGATTTGACACTGGCCACAAGAGCTCTGGTAGCGTAGTGGTTACAAATCGGGCTGCTAACCTCAAGGTCAGCAGTTCGAAACTACCAGCTCTTCCGCGGGAGAAAGATGAGGCTTTCTGTTCCTGTAAAGATTTGCAGCCTCGGAAACCCTGTGCAGGGTCACTATGAGTCCAAACCGATTACACGGCACTTAACAACAACGACACTTAGACTCTAAGGAGCTCTGGTAGCGTAGTGATTATGAATCGGGCTGTGAACCTCAAGGTCAGCAGTTCGAAACTACCAGCCGCTCCGCGGGAGAAAGATGAGACTTTCTGCTCCTGTAAAGACTTACAGTCTCGAAAACCCTGTACAGGGTCGCTATGGGTCGGAACCGACTCCATGGCAACCACAACTTAGACTCTGTCCTGGCCAGAATCCAGGAGTCGAGCTACCTTCTCTTCTTTTAGGGAAATGCACAAACTGTCCCCAGCCCCATCCACTCAAAGCCACACTTCCAGAGTGCCCGACCGCCCACCCCCAACACTTCAGCAATCCCTCAGCAATCGCGATGTGATTCCTAGCCTGAACCTTTCTAGGACCCCACCCCTTCCAAGGCTCCAGGAGTCTGAGTCCCCACCCCTTCACATATCCAAGCCCTGTCCTCTCAGGGTGCCAGAAGCCCACGCCCCGGACCACAGCCAGCCCCAGGGTCTCGGCCCCAATTCCTCCTACACTCAAAACTTTTTCAAAGTCTCAACTCTTAGGGAACCCAGGCCTTCCAGCCCCCAGTCTTCTCGGGGATCCAGTCCCTTAATCTGTGGGGGGCGCCCCTCCCTTAATCTGTGGGGGCAGCTGAGCCAGAGGTCAGGCAGTTGGGGGGAAGCCGAAGGGGCGGGGATAGCTGGGATTGGGAGGGGAGATTGCAGCGTGGGCGGCTGGCAGAGGGAGACAGAGACCAGCCGAGAGGATAGAACAACCCAGAAAGTTGTTCTCTGAAAGAGAGGGAAGGAAACGGCAGACGTGGAGGGCCACATAGAGAGGCAGAGACAGAGAGAGACAGACTGAGGTGGGGGGAGAAAGAGACAAGACACACAGAGAGACTTAAGGAAGAGAGACAGAGGGAGAGAGACTCGGAGAAAAAAGATTCGGAAAGAAACAGAAAGATAGGGTAAGAAATACTGAGAGTTGGGGGGAAGGGGGAGAGAAAGGGAGAGCTGGAAGAGGTGAGGACTGGAAAGAAAGATAGGAGGTAAGAGTAGGGGCAGTTCTAGAGCGGGGGTTGTCAGAAGACCAAAGAGACCATAAGAGAGAGAGACAGAGATAGAGAGTGTGAGGGAGCCGTGAGGAGACTGCAGGGTATGAGGGACAGAGAAGTGGGGAGCCTGTGACCAGGGCTCCCCAGCACCCAACGCTATCCTCTTGCCCCCCTGTCGTTGGGACCCCAGCACTGGGTAAGTTCCTTGGTTGGGCAGGACACGCACGGCCTGTGGGCACATCCCTGGCAACTCAGGTTTTGGCTAGGGAATGTTTTGGGGGTGCATGTGGGAGGGCAGGAGACAGGTAGCTGAGGCAGCAGGGAGGGGGCAGGGTGTTCGGGGTGGTTCCTTAGCACAGAGAGCGTCAAAGTCCTGGCCAGAGTCACAGGGGAAGGAAGAAAAGGACCCCTATTCTCTGTCCTGGGCTGCAAACAGCTGCCCCCTCCCCAGCAGCTGCTAGAGCCGCCCACCTCTCTTGGCATTGCCCTTGGTATGTGGTCAGGAGCCAGGGTTTCCCCCAGCCCCTCAGTCCCCAAACAACAGACTCTTTCTCCTCAGCCTCCTCCGACCTCTAGGCCCCTGACCCGGGCTCTGTCCCCAGCCGGGTCGGTCAGCTGTAGAGACACAGCCCCTTTCTTCCTCTCCCCCAGTCCTGGATGGAGGAGGGCAGACCCCGGAGCAGCCTCAGCTTGGCTAGCAGCGTCTCCACCATCTCCTCACTCAGCAACTTGAGCGCTAAGGTGCGAGCTCCCTGGTGGGCAAGGGGAGGAGGGCTTGGGACTCTGGTGCCTCTCTTGCTTCTCCCTCAGTTTCTGCATCCCCCTTCCTAGTCTCCCCTTCCCTAAGGGAAAAGGATCCAGAGTCAGCCAAGTCTACTAAGGTCCCAAATTGCCCACCAGCCACAGCTAGAGACTCAGAGACACTCCTAGTTCTATCCCCACCCCTTGTATTTTCCCAATTCCTAGCCAGAGTAACAACCCAGTTTGACCTTGGTTGCTAAAATAAGGCCTCGCCCCAGCCATGAGGTCCCTCTAAAACACAACAAAAAAAAAACTAGAACAAACCAGAATAGAAAACGCCCTGTAGGACAAACCACAAGGTCAGCAGTTCAAACTCACCAGTCGTTCCCTGGAAACCCTACACTGGGTCTCTATGGTGTGTGTGTGTGTGTGTGTCGGAACTGACTTGATGGCACTTAACAACAACAAACAACATGTTTTTCAGAGTAGAACTGTTTCTTGGCTGTAATCTCTCAGAAAGGAGAGAAAGAAGGCCTGGCAAAGTGCTTGTGGACCTATCCAGCAGCTCCATGGGAACAAATCCATGTCCATCTACCCATACGGATTATAGTCTAGAAAATCCTTTGGGGCAGTTCGTCTTGGTCACAAGGGGTTGTTATGAGTTAAAAAATCAACTCCATGGCACATGATAACTGTAGCGATCTGTATGGAAGCACATTGCCAGACTTTTTTTTCTGGTACTGATGGGTGTGTTTGAACCGCCAACTTCAAGATTAGTTGCTGCTGCTGCATCTCATTGAGTTGGTTCCAAGTCATAGCGACCCTGTATAGGGTTTCCGAGGCTGTAAATCTTTACAGGAGCAGAAAGCCTCACCTTTCTCTTGAGGAGTTAGCAGCTCAACGAATAACCTACTAAGATTGTTGTTGTTAAGTGCTGTTGAGTCCCTTCTGATTCATAGTGACACTGTAGAAGGATTCTGAGGCTTTAAATCTTCATGGGAGCAGAAAGTCTCATCTTTCTCCCTTGGACCTTGTGGTTCGCAGTCCAGTGCTTAGCGTTTGGAAACACCGTGCTCCCACTATGCTAGTAGCTGAGTGCAAACTTTTTTGTGCCACCCGGAGGACCTTGGAATCTTGGTGTGGTGCTGTGGGCTAATGCGTCAGACTGCAAAGTCGTTTGAACTGCAAAGTCAGTGGTTCAAGCTCACCAGCTGCTCCTTGGAAACCCTATACAGGGTCGCTATGGGTTGGAATCGATTCGACAGCGCTTAACAACAGCAACAGGGAACCATGAGATCCTTCTAAGAGCTTAAAAATCAGTGGCTTCTCTTAATTAGGACTGAGGGCTCGCCTTATGTTTCCAGCCATCAGATCTATCCACCTATCAAATGTGATAAAGAAAGACCCTTTTCTGACAATAAGACCCAAGGAGGCCTGAGATACTTGAGTCCCAAATTGTCACCCAAGTCAGAAGTTCCTCCTCCTCCTGCCACTCACTGTACACATTTCCAGACCTGAGTCTCTAGACTGGATCCCAGAGTTGATCCCAACGAGCCCCAAGGGCAGGCATCCCCAAGGAAGGCCAACCTGGCGGCAGAACCCTGTAGTACCCTATTGCATCAGCGTAAGTGGCTGCCTAGGGACAGGATGGAGGAATTTGACATGGCCTCTCTTCCTTGATGCTGCAGTAGTTTAAGCATTAGGCTGCTAATCACCATCCTCTTCCAGAAAGAAAGATGAAGCAGTTTGCTCCCACAAAGATTTGCAACCGCAGAAACCCTATGGAGTCCTATAAGGTGTCTGAGTCAGAATCCACTAATGGGCAGACTCAAACAGTCAACCTTTGAGTTTGCAGCCGAGCGCTTAACCACTGTGCCACCAGGCTACACCAGAAAGTTACAGACTTGAATATCTTGTTGAACACACTTCTTCAGGCCATTCATAGGATCCTGTTATGAATTGGAATCAATGCAACAGCAACTGGTTTGGCCTTGGTGTCTCCTCCCTGGACCTGGTCACTAAAGGAATTTTATTCCCAGGCACTAAGACTTAGTGCCCTGGTGGCAAGTAGGAGTCCTGGTGTGGCTCTGTGGTTTAATGCATTAGACTGCAAGGGAGGTTTGAATCACAAAATCTATGGTTCAAGCTCACTAGCCACTCCTTGGAAACCCTATACAGGGTTGCTATGAGTCGGAACCGACTCGATGGCACTTAACAACAACAACAAAGACTTACTACCCTGGTGACATAATCGGTTAAGTGTTGAGCTGCTTACCATAAGACCAGAGGTTCAAACCCACCAGCCGTTCCACAGGAGAAAGATGAAGCTGTCTGCTTCTGCAAAGATTTACAGTCTCAGAAATCCTATGGGAACAGTTCTGCTCACCTATAGGGTCACTATGATTTGGAATTGATTTGATGGAAGTGGGTGGCGGGGGGCTTTAATGATTCTTGACATTCGGTCCTTCCCATCACCATGGGGCTCATCCTGATATAGCATTTCTAATTTGGGTTCTGAAGGTATTCCTACATTCCTGACTCTGGGGTCCTGGGGCCTCCTCCCCTTGGCAATGGGTCCTGGATTCCCAAATGGCTTGCCTCCAAACACCTCCCTCCACCCAGCAATATAGCTCTTCTCAACCCTATACACTCAATTGTGATTTCCAGGCTCAGCCCTCTCCTGGACCCAGTGGCTAAGGGACAGTTTGTTGTTGTCAGCTGTCATCAGTCAGTCCTCAACCCATGGTGACCCATGCACAGAAGAATGAAACATTGTAGAGTCCTGCACAATCCCCTTAATTGGGTAGCAATGAGACCCTTGTGATCCATAGGGGTTTCATTGTTAGAATCACCAGAACTTTCTTCCTAGTCTTCACTTCCTTAATTTGAACGTTCTACTGAGACCTGGTCACCATCATAGCATCATAGCAACATGCAAGCCTCCACTGACAGATGGGGGTGGCTATGCATGAAATGCATTAACCGGGAATTGATCCTGGGTCTCTGGCAGACAAGAGAGAATTCTATCATTGAGCCCTCATTGTCTCAAAGGGCAGGCGAGTGAGGCATTGGGAAGCTCCTGGCTGCCTCCCTGAGCCCATCTGACTCTCTACTCACTTCTACCCCCTTCTCTCCTCAGAAGTCCACCAGGGCCGTAAGCAAGGTCCATGCCTTCGGGAAGAGGGGTAATGCTCTCCGAAGGGACCCCAACCTCACCGTGCACATCCGAGGCTGGCTTCATAAGCAGGTGGAACTCACGGGGGGAGGGCAGAGGGGGTCCTTGGACACACAAGGTGACACTAGAGGCTGGGTCGCTGGCAGCCTGCATTATGTTCTTTCTCTCCTTTCCAGTTCTTACATGTCCTTTCTTTCTTGTCTTCCTTCCTCTCTTCCTCCCTCTTTCTGTCTCTCTCTCTCTTTCTTACTTTTTTTATTGTGAATTGACTGAAGGTTTACAGAGCAGATCATCAGTTTTACATTCAACTAATTCTATACTACATTTCATTACAGTGATGGCAATCCCCTCCATGTAAAATCTGTTAATTACCTCTATTCACTTTAACTCTTGCATTCCTCCCTGTGTCTCCGGCTACCTTCATTTTTCCTTTGCCAACGTCCCTCATGCCAAAGGTGTTTCTTTTCACAATCACCGCCTTTCCCCCTAGGAACTCAGGCGGTGCTGTGGGTTGGGTTGCTAACTGCTAGGTAAGCGATTCAAACCAACTAACCACTCCGCGGGAGATATGTCTGTCGTTCCTGTAAGGATTTCTTCTTGGAAATCCTAATCTGCCCTTAAATCGTAATCGGCTTGATGGCAGTGGCCTTTTTTTGTGGGGATTGGTTTTTTTCTCTTATTCTGTCACTCATTCATCCATTCAGTCACTTATTCATTCATTCAATGACTAGTTCTTGAACGCATACAACGTGCGACAGGAGCAAGGCTTCCAGGAGGAGACAGGGAAAGGGGCGTGACCTGGACCTATACTCTCCAATCCCCTCTTCCAATCATCCAGTCATCCAATCATCACCATGCAAATCACACAAACTTCTATGTTGCATTCACGACCAGGGTGGGATGGGGACAGATATGAAATTAGTCAATATGTAACAGACGCGGTAATTTCAGATAGTAGTTAAGTGCTGGTAGGGGACCTGGTGGCGCAGAATTAAAGCACTCATCCACTAACAGAAAGGTCAGCGATTGGAACCCACCAGCCAACTCTGCAGGAGAAATATGTGGCAGTCAGTTTAAAGATGAAAGCTTTGGAAACCTTATGAGGCAGTTTGACTCTGTCCTAAACAGGGGCTGTGAGTCGGGATCTACCCCAAGACTTGGGGTTGCGGTTGGTTTTGAGTGCTGTGAGGAAGTGACAGCAGAGGTGTGTGACCGAAAGTGGTCAAGGAGTGAGCACTGCAGCTGATTGTTGGTCTTGGAAGGCCCCTCTGAGGAGCTAAGAACTAAGTGACACGAAATAGGCCGCAGTACCAAGACATGGGGACCTTGGAACTCAGAGCTCGAAAGGCGGGACTGCAGTGAGAGGGTGGTATTTCCAGACAGTCAGGGCAAGAGGGGCAGGAAGGGAAGTAGGCCCAAATCACCCAGGGCTGCAGTTCCCCAACCAGCAGCATCAGCAGTATTTGCTACATATTCAAATGATCAATATAACACACAGGCGTCCAGTTCCTTATCCTATTGTATCAAATATGGTCGCAGTAATTACTTTTTCTCTGGGTCTGTGTACCCTCTCGCTCTGGGTCTCTGTCCCCCTTTCTCTGGGTATCTTTGCCCACCTTCGGGTCTCTGCCCACTGGATGTCTGTCCTCTTTCACGGAACCTCTGCCCTCTTTCTCTCTAGACCTCTGTTCCTAGATGTCTCCATTTCCTCTTCCCTTTCCCTCTACTCAGGCCTCTACTTTTCTCTCTGCCCAGGACAGCGCTGGTCTCCGACTCTGGAAACGCCGCTGGTTCGTCCTCTCTGGCCATTGCCTCTTCTATTACAAGGGTAATCGTCTTTTGCCTCTGGTCTTTTACCTCCTGACTCCTGGGTGATCCCTGACCCCAGACCCCTTTTGCAGACAGCCGTGAGGAGAGCGTCCTGGGGAGCGTCTTGCTCCCCAGCTACAGTATCAGGCCAGATGGGCCTGGAATCCCCCGAGGGCGACGCTTCACCTTCACCGTGAGTCCCTCCGTCTCCCATGGGCATGAGGTACTGGGGGGCTTGATGGGAGGTCTGTGGAGGAAGCTCCCGAACATCCGCTAGTGAAGAGAAAAGGTCTTGACGGGGTCTCTGGCATCCTTATAGAAGACCCAGGCGTCCGGGTCCCCAGCCCTCTCTTCCCTAGGCAGAGCACCCGGGCATGAGGACCTATGTTCTGGCTGCTGACACCCTAGAGGATTTGCGAGGTTGGCTCCGGGCGCTGGGCCGCGCCTCCCGCGCAGAGGGTGATGATTGGTGAGTATGAACCCAGGCCACGCCCTTTTCATTAGGAATCTTTGTAAACATTTCCAACTCCTCTCCATAGAGGCTCTTGCCCCTTGAAGAGAACATCCAATCATCTGTCGTCTAGGTAAAGAGGTTCCGCCTTTCGGTCCCCTTCTCTGGGGAACTTTCAATTCCTCCAATCAGCAAATTATAAGCTCCGCCCACCAGATCCTACCCTCCAATCAAAGAGTCTGACAAACAGTCTCAGCCCCGCCTTACCAATCATTAGTATGCCGCACTTTTTGATTGGCTGCTTCTTAAGTCTCACCCCCTTGATGCTACCCCTGAACTATCTTATCTAAAACTCTTCTGGATTTAGGACTTTAGGGTTTCTGGGATTCTGTCTTGATCTGTTCCCACTTCCAGGCTGAACACCCAGGCTGCCTAACTCATTCTGTTTCAGAATGCTGGCCATCACTTCCATCTCAAGCCTCAGTTTTACTGTCTGCAAAATGTCATGATTTAGTGCACTACCTCCCCTCTAGTCAGGTCCCTGTGCCCTCATCTGTGACAGAAGGGTTGTTGTTAGGAGGTTTGTCAAAAGGGTGATGCCTTTTCTCTGTGTCCATTTGCTAGTGGGCAGCCCAGGTCACCCGCACGTCCCCAGCCTGGTGGCCCCGGTGGTTCCCCGGAGGTGAGCAGAGGGGAAGAAGGGCGCAGTCCAGAATCACTAGAGGTGGCTAGAGGACGTGGTGGACCCAGGCTGCTCACTCCCAGCCCCACAGCAGACCTCCAGTCTGGACCCCGGATTAGGAGGGCAAGGAGCCCAGAGTGAGTGGAACCGTGGAGTCTGGAGGGCACAGGATTTCTAGGACAGGGTTTTGAGGAGTGATGGTGGGGTGGGGAGGCAATCTGATGCAGAGGACATGGCTTCTTAGAAGGGCAGGACTTGTTGACAAGTCAGAGCAGTTAGAACAGATTAGGAAGCCTTGCCTAGCATTTCCATGTGTTACTCTGTGGGTTGCAGGGTTCTTGTGGGGCAGAGCCTGTGGGGAGAGGTGTATGGAGGAGGTGCTACAAAAGAGAACTATTTGTGGTCTGAGGAATACAAGAGTGGTACTGCAATGGGCCAATGAGGCACACTGAAGAAAATTTTGAGGCTGATTTGGTGGGTACTGGGGCGGGTTGACTCATTCATTCAGTTTTGCGATGCCGTCCTTACCCACAGCCTGTTCACATCCCTCTCACGGCCTCCTTCTCCTCTGAGCCTGCCTCGGCCCCGTTCTGCTCCTGCACGCCGACCCACTCCTTCCTCAGGAGACACAGCATCCCCTGCTCGTCCCCACACCCCACTGAATCGCATTGATGTCCGACCTTCCCTGGAATGGGGCTCTCAGCGCCGGACTCTCTCCCGGCCTTCCACGCCTCACCGAGGGCCCTCTTTAGAGGCTGGGGCAGGAAAGCCCCCCAGAAGTCCCCAGCACTGGAATCAGGAGCCCAGAACACAGGTCAACAGAGAGGTAAGGGAGAAGGGGACTACTTCTCCCATTTGTCTGTGAGGCTGCCTTTCAAAGCTGAGTGCCTGACTATTGTCCATCAGCATTATGGGGATTGTAGTCCAAAATGATCATAGGCTTGAGATGTGTGTGGGAGAATGGACTCTATCCCCCATCAGTCATCAGGATTGTTTTTCCAGGCAAAGTCGCTGGCTATTGCTCCTTAAAGTGTCATGGGGATTGTAGTCCAGAAAATATTCATCTCTGAGACAGATGGGAGAGGGAAAATGGATTGCATCTGCCTTGTGTTTTCAGTTTTATCTTTCCAACTTTGCTACCTGCTGTTTTCCTCTGAGTATCCAAGGGTTACCCTCCAGAAAACTCACAGCTAGCAGTACATTATGGGAGTACACTGTGATTCCCATCAGTATCGGGGCTGTGGTTGTTTGTTGTAACTGTGGGAAACGATTAAACCCAGAAGAAAGGTCTGGCAATCGACTTCCAAAGAATCAGCCTTTGAAAGCCTGTTTTTCATAGAGCACAGTTTTACTCAGAGATGCAAGTCACAATAGACTTGATGTTGTTAACTGATATAAATTAGTATACAATAATACATTTGTCATTTCAACAATTTTTACATGTACAAGTCAGTGACATTAATTATGTGTTAATATTTTGCAACCATCACCTTACCACTATGTTTCAAAAAGTTTTTTCATCACTCTTAACAGAAGCCTATGGAATTCTTTTTATTTTTTAAAGAATCTTGTTTTTCTTGTTGTTGAGAATATACACAGCAGAAAACACAACAACATTTTTCAACTCAGTGACATTAATTGCATTCTTCAAGTTTTGCAGCCTCCTTTTTCAAGTTGTCTCTTCCTCATTAGCATGAACTCACTGCCCCCTAAAGTTCCTGTGTAACTTTGGCAGTTGCTGTTGTTTTGCTTCTTTCTAGCTCTTAAAAGAGCATACTGCTCAAGGCAGACATTTCTTTACTAGTAAAGGAGCTCTGGTAGCGTAGTGGTTACGAATCGGGCTGCGAACCTTAGGGTCAGCGGTTCGAAACTACCAGCCGCTCCGCGGGAGAAAGATGAGGCTTTCTACTCCTGTAAAGATTTACACCCTCGGAAACCCTGTACAGGGTCGCTATGGGTCGGACCCGACTCGATGGCACTTAACAACAACAACAACAAAGCTAAGCTGTTGTGTGGTTTAAAGAAGACTTCATGAGATATTTTTGACTTAAGGTTTTAAATGATCTCAGGGCAATAGTTTTTTTTTTGCGGGGAGGGGGGTTGGGGTCATTCAGCCTCCATGACTCCAGAAACTAGATTCCATGAGAATTTGAAATTCTGTTTTACATTTCCCCCTTTTGATCAGGAGTCTTTTGTGGAATTGTTGATCAAGATGTTCAATAATGGCAGCCAGGCACCATTTATGGGGCTGTTTAGCTAGGCTAGTCCATTATACTGGCTAATAGCTGGAGAGAGGTGGTAATTGAGGAAGTTGTGGGGGGCCTAGTTCTGACCCAAAAACGTCTCCTAAGGCACATCAATTCTTGGCACACATCCATTCTATTATTTGTTTTTAAGCCAGTTACTGTTGCGTCAACACCAACTCATGGTGACCCATGTGTGTCAGAGTAGAACTGGTTTTCATTGGCTGTTCTTTTGGATGCAGATTGACAAGCCTTTCTTCTTAAGAGCTTTTGGGTGGACTCAAACCTCCAACCTTTCAGTTAGCAGTTGAGCATATTAATAGTTTGTACCACCCAGGGACTCCAATAATTATGAAGAAATGCCACATTTAAAATTTCTCTATTTTAATATTTTTCCTAGGCCCCTTCTGGCTCTGCCACATATCTTCAACTCCCCCCAAGACCCCCAGGAACCCGAGCCTCCATGGTTTTATTGGTAGGTATCCTGGAGCACCCCAAGTCCACCAGAGCCCTTCCTGGCTTCTTTAGCTACAGGCAGTGCCATCTCCTGGTCATGAGGATAGTTCCTGGACAAACTGGGTATTTCAACCTTCTTGGGCAGTTTCTAAGAATCCCTCAGTTTGCAGTTAACCTACTTACTGCTAAGGGAAGTTTGGTCATTCAAGTTCATCCATAAGCATCTTGGTAGAAAGACCTGGTGGTTTACTTCTGAAAAATCAGCTACTGAAAACCCTATGGAGGGCAGTTCTACTCTTGACACCCATGGGGTTCACATGAGTCAGAATGGACTTGATTTGTTAGTTGGTTGGGTAGGGGCTCAAGAATGTTCAGGTTGACTTTTTTGACAAAAAGCTCTATCAAGACCTAAATCCCATTTATTCCTGTTTCTGCCCTTTAGAAATTCCTGTGTTAAAGCATAGTGGTTACGAGTCGGGCTGCTAACCTCAAGGTCAGCAGTTCGAAGCGACCAGCTGTTCTGTGGGAGAAAGATGAGACTTTCTGCTCCTGTAAAGATTTACAGCTTCAGAAACCCCATGCAGGGTTGCTGTGAGTCGTAACCGACTTCTTGGCACACCACCACCACCATCACCACCACCACCAAGACGGGTGATAGGACGTGTATTAATTTCACATGCATTAATTTTGAAGTAACACAAACTGAGTGACTTGAATCAGCATGACATTTACTGCCTCACACTTTGGGGCCTAGGAGTCTTCCTTAAGTCAAGGTGTTGGCAGAGCTGGCTCTCCCTGGAGGCTTCTAGAGCCTTCCTTGTCTTGTCCTAGCTTCTGATGGTTCCTGGCAATCCTTGGCATTTCTTGGCTTGTAGATGCATCATTTCCTAGTTATTGACAACTGAGATTTACAAAGACTTGGGAAGAAACTGGTAAAGAGAACTGGGCTGTCTAACTGTAGGACCAGGGTTTAGCTGAGGTTTTATAAGGAGCTGTCAGTTTCACATGGCCCCACTTTTCTTCCTCTTCTCAGCCCGCCCCACCCCTGGACTCAACCTTCCACCAAAGCTTGGAGACAGACGTAAGTTCTCTGCATTCCAACCCCTGCTTAGGTCCCAAAGTTGGGGAGAGAATGTTCTGGGTGGAGGTGGAGTGGTGGTGGTTGTGGGGAGAAGCCAGATCTCGTTCATAAACAGCTTTTACTCTCTGTTCCCCAGACTCTGCTGACCAAGTTATGTGGGCAGGACCGACTCCTGAAGAGGTTGCAGGAGGAGATAGACCAGAGGCAGGAAGAAAAGGTAAAGATGGAAGTCCTATCTTTTCCTTGTGAAGCCACTCCCATTTCATCTCAAGGGGCGGGACTTCATGATAAGTCCCACCTCTTTGCTTTAACCCTCCGATTTCAATTCTCAGCCCTCACCTCTGGTGTTCAGTATCACTCAACACCAGCAATACATCACAACCAAATTGGCTTTGTTACAAGAATGTTAGTTTAACAATTGGAAATCAATCCATCAGTCTGCTGTGGCTACTTGATTCTACCTCCCTTCTCCCCTCTCTCTGCTTCCCTCTCCCCCACGTTGAGAATATGTGAAGACCAGTGTTCTCTTCCGGGAGCCTGGGCATGGCTTCAGCAATCTAAGCACCTTCTCTATTGGTTCAGGAGCAGCTAGAAGCTGCTCTGGAGCTGACCCGGCAGCAGTTGAGCAAAACAACTCGGGAGACTGGAGCTCCCGGAAGGGCCTGGGGACGCCAGCGCCTCCTGCAGGACCGTCTGGTCAGCGTGAGGGCCACTCTTTGTCACCTGGCTCAGGTAAGCATCCCGCCACATCTGGAAGGCCCCATGATTCTGTAGGTTCTTACTGAGGGAACCTGCCCCAAGGGGTCTCAGGAAGGTAGTTCTTGATTCCTTCTTCCCCAGATTTTAAACTTGCGATCTTGACCATCAAGGGACAGGCTGCCAAGAAAGAGCAGAAATGAGTGTAGCTAAGAGCTTTCTAGTCTCCACTCAGAGTAGTTGTACTACCTTAGTAAAGTTACTGAACACCCTGGGCCGTAGATACTTGCTGGGTAAACTGGGGGATCATGGTGGCAAAGTGGGTAAGAGCTTGGTTGCTAACCCAAAGGTCAATGGTTCAAAGCTACCCAGCACTCTATAGGAAAAAGAGGTGGCAGTTGGCTTCCATAAAGACATTCTATATAGGGTCGCTGTGAGTCAATGGGGTTTGGTTATTTGCCTACACTGAAAACTCATTACAATCGTAGGCTCAATTTTGACTTCTGGGGGTTCCCAGGAGTCAGGGCAAAGAGTTCCATGGGAATTGTAGTTCAATCCCCTCCTCCCAGGGCTCCCAGAACCCAATCTCCTCTCAGTTCAGCAGTTGGGAGAACGCAGGGCATGGAAAGCTCTGGCAGGTGGGGATACTAACCCTGTGTCTTCTCCTTTTTGGGGTTTGAGGAGCGGGAGCAAGTTTGGGACTCATACAGTGGCCTGGAGCAAGAGCTGGGCACCTTGCGAGAGACCCTTGAGTACCTGCTGCACCTTGGCACCCCCCAGGTAAGTCCCTATACCTGGACTCCAAGTCCTACCCTTCACTCCAGCCCAGACTCAAACCACTTCAGCTGTGGTGCTGTAGGATCAGCACTGGACAGTGTACCACAACATCAGCGGTTCACACCCACCAGCTGCTCTTAAAAAACCCTATGTGCGGTTACTATAAGTAGGAACCAACTCCAAGGCACTTAATAACAACAGAACAGAAGCCCCTCTCATTTTATCCCAAAGCCCTCCTCACTGTCCTTTTAGTCTAAGCCCCTGCCCCCTAGTAGTGATGACCCCACCCTTCCTTTAAACCCCAGCTTTCAGATTCCAAACCACGCCCCTGTTGTTGTTGTTAAGTACCTTGGAGTCCGTTCTGACTCATAGTGATCCTGCACAGGGTTTCCCAGGCTGCAAATCTTTACGGGAGCAGAACACCTCACCTTTCTCCTGCGGAACAGCTGGTAGTTTTGAACTGCTGACCTTGCGATTTGTAATCAAGGCAACTAGAAGAATGGAATGGAGATAGAGCCCAGCTGACTTCAGACCTTATCTGTGATTTATGGCTGCACCCCACCCCTCTTTTCATTTTCCACCTTTGAGGCATAAATTCCTTTCCTCTCTCCTGGTTCTCTTCCCCCTCAGGACAGAGCATCTGCTCAACAGCAGCTATGGATGGTAGAAGATACACTGGCAGGTCTGGGGGGCACCCAGAAACCACCCCCCAATACTGAATCTGGCTCCCCATCATCTGTGCTGCAAGGTGAAGAGTGTTCCGAGAGAGAGGTGAGATTTTAAGAATGGATGTGGGCAGGGGCTGACCTCCTCTAATTTCAAGAGGGGGTGAGAAAATCGCTGTCAGCATCACCCCACGGCTGCTTAATGTACATTGGAGACCAGAGCTGCCTCTACCTCCAACCTTTTTACCCATCAGACATCAGCTGTTCTTCCCACAACACTCTCTGCTTCTGTGCTTGGATCAGCAATTCTTGGCAATGGTCACACCCACACGGACCATATTCAGGAGTGTGGAGTTTTTTAGGGAACTTGTTGCTGTTGGTAAATGCTGTCTAGTAGGTTCTGACTCATGTTGTTGTTGTGATGTGCCATGGAGTCGGTTCCGACTCATAGCGAGTCTGTATAGGGTTTCCGAGGCTGTAAATCTTTACGGGAGCAGAAAGCCTCATCTTTCTCCTGCGGAACAGCTGTTAGTTTCGAACTGCTGACCATGAGGTTTGCAGCCCGATTCGTAACCACTACACTACCCAGAGCTCCTTAGGTTCTGACTCATAGCAACCCTGCATAGGGTTTCCATGGAGCAGCGGGTGAGTTTGAACTGCCAACCTTGTTGTTTGCAGTCCATTGCTGATCCTACAGCGCCACACCAGGAGTCCAGATTGTAACAGGTTACAATTGAGGCTCGGAATTGCTTTGGTTTCCAGTTCTTTGGTCGGGACGGTGGTCCCTTGTCACTCATGCCTGCAGGCAAGCCACTCTCTGAATAGCAGTCTCCTGGGCCTTCAGGTCCTGGTTGGGCAATTTCCACAAAGCTCTTTAGTTCCACCAACAAGTGCCTGGAAGCCCCATTCAGCCAGCAAGCCTCCCGCCCCAAAGCTCTCTTGCTCTGTGGCCTGGGAAGCCCACTGCACCGTCTCTTGGTGGTCTCCTGTTCTGCTGCCTTTACTGCTACAGTTTCCCTGACACTGCTTCTCACCTTGTCTTGCCATCCCTGGTGCCACAGCTCTGTCTCCTGGGTCTAGGAGGTTCCCAGTGCAGGGATCCCTGGTCTACCGGACACTCTCCACTCCCATTGGTCCTCTTAGGGGTTGTCAGATGCCCCTTGGAGTCCTGGTTTGGCATTGTGTGCTAATGCCTCACACTGTAAAGTCCTTTGAACTGCAAGGTCGGTGGTTCAAGCTCACCAGCTGCTCCTTGGAAACTCTATATAGGGTCGCTATGGGTCAGAATCAACTCGATGGCATTTAACAACAAAAATCCCCAGCCCCTTGAGTTACAAGTCTCTTATTTGCATTGTCCCACTCAAATCATTTGGTAGGAGTTACAAATAACCATCAGGGCCTTATGAAGTAATTCACTGTTTCCACCCTTACGCATCTCTCTTCACACACTAGTTCCTAGTCCCATCTGCTTCTAGCCCTTTTCATCACCCACCCACCTCTTCCTCTCCTTTGATCAGGAAGTTCCTAGCCACTTTGTTTTCTCATTTACATGATTAAGTTCATAGTGTGTGCCATAGTCTGCTCATAGGAGCTCCTGAGAGCCAATTGTGTGCCTCTCCTCCCATCTTCATTCAGTGATGTCATATTGGTGGCTTGCCACTGATCATAGTGGGAGTATTTGTTGTTGTTGTGATGTGCTGTGGAGTAGGTTCCGACTCATAGCGACCCTGTACAGGGTTTCCAAGGCTGTAAATCTTTACGGGAGTAGAAAGCCTCATCTTTCTCCCGCGGAACAGCTGGTAGTTTCGAACTGCTGACCTCGCGGTTCGCAGTCTGATTCATAACCACTACGCTGCCAGAGTTCCTGGTGGGAGTATTTACACCTTGGAAATTGGCAAATGCTAAAAAGCCAGGGCTCTTTCCTCTAGAGGGCCATTGGTTAAACACTTACCAACACATTACCTTGCACGGTTCTGTAAGATGATGATGTTTTTAGGTGCCATTGAGTTGGTATCAACTCATAGTGACCCTGTGTACAACAGAACGAAATACTGCCCAGTCCTGGGTCAACCTCACGATCCTTACTTTGCCTGAGTTGATAGCTGCTGCCTCTGTGCCAATCCATCTCATTGGGGGTCTTCCTCTTTTTATTGACCCTTCACTTTACCAAACATGATATTCTTCTCCACGGACTGGTATGGGTTGTACCTCAATGTAAAGGAAACAAAAATCTTCACCACTGGACCAGTAAACAACATCAGTATAAAGGGAGAAAAGATTGAAGTTGACAAAGATTTCAGTTTGCTCAAATCAACCATTGACACTCACGGAAGCAGCAGTGAAGAAATCAAAATGACCACGTATTGCATTAGGCAAATCTGCTGCACAAGACCTTTTTTAAATGTTCAAGAGCAAAGATATCAGTTTGAGGACTAAGGTGCACCTGACCCAAGCCATGGTATTTTTAATAATGTCATAAGCATGCGAAAGTTGCACAGTGAATAAGGAAGACTGTAGAAGAATTGATGCATTTGAGTTATGGTGTTGGAGGAGAATATTGAAAATGCTATGGGCTGCCAAAAGAACCAATAGATCTGTGTTGGAAGAAGTGCAGCCAGAGTGCTCCTTGGAAACCAGGATGGCCAGACTTCATCTCACAGAATCCAGTCATATTATCATCTGTAAGACACAGAGAAACAGAAATGGTGAACCCCTTAATATAAAGGATTATAAAAAACAAGGTTTTTTTTAAGGACCTGGATATTGAGCATTAGAACTATGTTGATGTTGTTGTTAAGTGCCGTTGAGTCAGTTCCGACCCATAGCAACCCTGTGTAGGGTTTCCAAGGAGTGGCTGGTGAGCTTGAACCACTGACCTTGTGGTTCAAACAACTTTGCAGTCCAGCACATTAGCCCACAGCGCCACACCAGGACTCCATCTCTAGGACTGTATATTGTTGTTGTTGTTAAGTGCCGTTGAGTCGGTTCCGACCCATAGCGACCCTGTATAGGGTTTCCGAGGAGCAGCTGGTGAGCTTGAACCGCCGACCTTGCAGTTCAAACGGCTTTGCAGTCTGGCGCACTAACCCACAGTGCCACTCCAGGACTCTCTAGGACTATATATCGATTGTATGAATGTTTTAGTAAAATACCCTCTGGAGTCAAACTAGCTTTGATATTAGGAGAAGAAACATACAAAGATTACCTCATAAATTAGTGAATAAGAATTTGAATGCTTGATCTCAAGAATTAAAAAAAAATTGTTTAATGTAACTTAATTAATTTAGTTATTTGAGCAACAGTGAGCTCAAACATAACAATTGTGAAGATGCAGTAGAACCAGCTGTTGTTTCATACTGTTGTATTAGGTTTGTTATGAGTTAGAACTGACTCAGGGCAAAGCATGCGCCATTCAAGTTTCTACATGTCTGTACCATTCAGTGGATGCATTACATTCTTCGGGCTGTACCCCCGTTTCTGAGCTGTTCTTCCCTATTTGCAAAAATTCACTGTCCACCAAGTGTTTCTTATCTAAGCTTTTGATTGGCTGTTGTCAATTTGGTCCCATAAAGACAGTTCTGAAAAGAGCAATCATAAAAGGACAGTTGAGACCACTGTTGTAAAGTTAAGACAAGATTTTCTTGCCAGGTGAAACATTCTATGATGGTTACCTTGGGAAGAGGGGGGGAACTATTCTCGGGCTAGAGGGTAGACACATGTTAACATGAGTGATGGGGAAGGTAATATACAGCAAGAAGGATGCTGGCAGAGGGAAGATGAAGGTGGTGGGAGACACAGGGAGGAGTTAAAGGAGATAAAGGTAACTGTTGTTGGTACATCCGGGGATTGCAATCATTGTAATGAAACAACGTATATGATTTGATGAATGTAAAACTGATGATCTGCTCTGTAAACCTTCACTCAATTCACAGTCAAAAGTGTTTTGTTCTCTTTTTTAAAGAGTGTAATGATTAAGGCAGACCTTTTTTATACTTAAGACCAGAAAAGTTGTGGGATGATATCAAGAATATCACACAGGAAAAAAGCAAAGGTTGTTAAAAAGATAAGAAAGAAGAAAAAGACCAAAATGGATGTCACAAGAGACTCTGAAACTTGCTCTCCAGCGTAGGGATGCTAACGCAAAGGGAAGAAATGAGGAGGTAAAAGAGCTGGTAGGAACATGTCAAGGGGCTGCTCGAGAAGATAAAGCCAAATGTTTGAGTTTATTTGTGCAAATATCTGGAGTTAGAAAACCAAAAGGGAAGAACACGCTCAGCATTTCTCAAGCTGAGGGTACTAAAGAAAAATATTGAAGCCTCAACTTGGAATATTGAAGGATTCTGTAGGCAAACTATTGAATGGTGCAGAAAGCATTAAAAGAAAATGAAAGGAATATAGTCACTGTACCAAAAAAAAAAAAAAGGTTGATGTTCAGCCATTTCAAGAGGTAGCATATGATCAAGAGCCAATGATACTGAAGGAAGAAATCCAAGGTGCACTGAAGGCATTGGCAAAGTACAAGGCTCTGGAAATTGATAGAATACAAATTGAAATCTTTCAATAAACTGATGCAGCACTGGAGGCACTCATCTCTGCCAAGAAATTTGGAAGACAACTACCTGGCCAACTGATTGGAAGGGATCCATATTTGTGCCCATTCCAAAGAGAGGTGACCCAACGGAATATGGAAATCATAGGATAATATCATTAATATTGCATGCAAGTAAAATTTTATTAAAAATAATTTAAAAATGGCTGCAACAGAACATTGACAGGGAACTGCTAGAGGTTCAAGACAGATTCAGACAAAGACATGGAATGAGGGATATCATTGCTGACGTCAGATGGATCTTGGCTGAAAGCAGAGAATACCAGAGAGAAGTTTACCTGTGCTTTATTGACTATGTAAAGGCTTTCGATTATATGGTTTGTGATAAGCTATGGACAACATTACGAAGAATGATTATTCAGGAACACTTAGTTGTGCTCATGAGGAACCTGTACATAGACCAAGAGGCAGTTGTTCGAACAGAACAAGAGAACATGGAACAGTTTAAAATTAGGAAAGGTATGTGCTAGGGTTGTATTCTTTCACCATACTTAATAAAATTAGGAAAGGTGTGTGCCAAGGAGTGTATAGTCTTTAACCGTATTTATTCAATATGTATGTTGAGCAAATAATCGAGAAGCTGGGTTATATGAAGAAAATCATGGCATTAGGATTGGGGGAAGACTCTTTTAACAACCTGCGAAATGCAAATGATTCAACCTTGCTTGCTGAAAGCAAAGACTTAAAATACTTACTGATGAAGATCAAAGAGCACAGTCTTTGGTGTGGGTTTCATCACCAACACTCATGGAAACAACAGTCAAGAAATCAAAGGAAGTGTTGCATTAGGCAGATCTTTGGCACAAGACCTCTTTAAAGTGCTGATGAGCAAAGAAGTCAGTTTGAGGACTAAGGTGCCCTTGATCCAAGCCATGATATTTTCAGTAACCTCCTGTGTACGTGAAAGCTGACAGTGAATAAGGAAGCCCAGGCATTCCCTTTTTTGGCTCTCCTGATTTGGTTGTTTATTTGTGTTCTTTCTATGCTATCTGGTTCTGGAGTCTATAGAGATTATAAACCTGGGTCCTGGTCCCCAGGAGACCTGGGTTCTGATCCCAGCTCTGCTATCTGTATACCATCAGCCATTGCCCTCATTCTCTGAGCCTCATTCTCTCCCTCATCTATATGCTTTTCATATATGGTCACCATCCTCATAGCAAAAGACGAAGCATAGCTCAGAGAGGTAAAGTAACTTGCTCAAGGTCACACAGCCAATAAATGACAGTGTTGGGATTTGAAACCAGGACACTTGACTTCTGGATTACAATCCTAACTCTACCCCTGCTAAGAGCTTGAAAAATGACAGTGATAATTGTCATTCCCTTTTCCCGACATTTCCAGAGTTTGTCAGAGTCCCTGGAGCTAAGCTCTTCCAGGTCCCCTGAGTGTGACTGGGGACGGCCACCTGGGGTTGACAGAGAACTCACCAGCCCCTCCTCAGGTAAGCATCCTGGCTTTGGTATGTGTGTGTGTGGGTCTCTTGGCGTTTCCCTTCCTCACCAACTCCTATTCTCCCCTCTAGGTCTCGGGTCCCCAAGAGTCTCCCGGGCTTCTAGCCCTGAAGGTCACAGCATCTCTTCCCTGCAGCTGGGCACCAAGGTAAGAGCTTAGCTTTGCTGGAGGATATCCATGTGTCTCTGTTCTCTAGTGCTGTTGTACCAGAAATACCACTGGGGAATGGCTTTAACAACCAGAAATGGAGTCTGTCACACTGTAGAAGGCTAGAAGTCCAATTTCCGAGTGCTGCCTTTAGGGGAAGGCGTTTTCTGTCTTGGCTCTGGGGAAAGGTCTTGAATCTACCATTGAGGTGGCAAAAGGAGGCAGATCATAAACAATCAACTTAGTTTATGATACATTTTTTTTTCTTTTTCAATGTTTTATTGTGAATTATGTGATAGTTTACGTGGGAGAACATTAGTTTTACATTCATTCTACCATATATCATTTCATTACCTTGATTACAATCCCCTCCATGCATCATCAACCAACAGGGTATAACCTGCAAGCCTGTCTCCCGGTCTTCAGCACACGGCCCCTCTTCCACTCTGGGTCTAAAGTCCCCAGCTGCTTCATCTCTCCATGTCATTCATCTCTGCCTCCATCTCAGGCATCACTGCTTCTGTGGGTAGGGTCCTGCTCTCCACTCTTCTCCCTTCATGGTCCCAGGGACATCCGCTCTTAGACTGCAAAGTTAATCACTCCCTTCTTTGCTAAAAAACATCTACCTTTACATTTCCAACCCTCACAATCAGTCCTGATAACAATTATTCACTATTGTATCACAAGACACCTATCCGCATCTCCTTTCATCAGTCCCGCCTAGACAGATTGGATGCTACTTAGTGGAGAGTCTACCTTCCTTCATGCCCTCTTGATCAAGATTCCTTTTTGAAAGCTTGTAAGCCAGTCACTTCTTGCCTTTGTAACCCCCGCTCCCCCACCCCCATTTTGGTTAGTCAATGTCCAAGTTGCCCATCCCTGTCTACTCTGTATATGGAGGGGATGGGAATGATCCTTGCTGTAAAGATTTGTTCCCTCTCTTGAGCTACTGCATCCGTAGGTGTAGGTCAAGTTCATCAAATTGTATCACGTTATTCTGTTTTTCCTCTTCTTTCTTCTTCTAGTTGAGCTCTGATCATCCAGTCTTTGAAGTCAGGTCAAGTGGGTATTATCTGCAAGTGTGGGTGTTCTTATGCATATGCCCTCTCTTCTTATCAGCTGGATGCTTCACTCTCCACTCTAGTCCTCTGTGGCTATGTCACTGACTGGGCCCAAGAGTCCCCAGGTCTTGCCATGCTGCTGGGCAACCAGGTCTCCACCTAGGTTCACAGGAGTCTGTTGAACGTTATAGGGCTTAGCTTGCAGCTTCATTGCTGTTTTTCCCTCACCTCCCCTTATAGGTAACGAATGTTGTCGGTCGTCAATCAGAGCATATATTCCCATTGAGTCTTAGTCTGGGAAGGGGGTTTGCTCTGAGGGGACCCGACCACTTGCCTTGATGTCTCCTGGGTGAGCAACTTGCTTGTTCTTGTAGTAATCAGTCGGTCTGCCTATATTGTTTTGTATTTTTCCTGTCGGTCTTTCTTTCAAGACAGTATCTTCTGTTCTTCTAGCCACTCCAGGCTGGTCTGCATGCCCATTCAAGTGGAAATTTCCTACCACTGAAGATACTGGATGCTGTTCAGGATTCCACCTATGGTCTTATGTAATGCAGAGGCTCCACAGGAAGCCTCCTTCACTAGGCACGTTGTAGCCCCATTTTAGGTATTCCAAGTGTGGCGCTGTGGGTTAATGCGCCAGACTGCAAAGCTATTTGAACTGCAAGGTTGGTGGTTCAAGCTCACCAGCCGTTCCTCGGAAACCCTATCCAGGGTCACTATGGGTCAGAACCGACTCGACGGCACATAACAACAATCAGTTATAGGCAGAAACGATGCATTCTTTTGCAAGGTTTTAATTACTAAATAAATCAAAACGAAAACAGGTAAGGAAGTTTGGGATGTTTTAAATGGTGTGGTCTGGGGGGTCATGGTGGCACAGTGGGCTGCTAACTGCAAGGTTGACAGTTCAATCCCACTAGCTAGCTGTTTTGGGGGAGAAAGATGAGGCAGTGTGCTTCCACAAAAATTTATGGTCTCTTAAATATATATTTATGTATATGTATGTATGTATTTATAGTCTCAGAAACCAGAAGCAGTTCTCTTCTGTCCTGCAGCGTCCTTGTGAGTCGGTGGGCTTGGTCTGGGGAGGCCTCAAAGAAAGATATAATTGAGGAGATACTGGAAGGAGGTGAGAGAGCAAACCTTGGGGCTACCTGAGAGAAGAGGGTTCCAGGCAGAGGGGATAGCCCTTGTAAAGATTGGGAGGCAGGACTATGCCTGGCTAGAACTGAATGAGCAACCGATGGGGATAAGGTCTTGGCAGATGAGAGCAAAAGGGCGGTTTAAAGGGGCCGTGTGGACCACGAGAGATCTTTATTTTGACTTTGAAGGAGGTGTGAGCTTCTGAGCTGAGTTGTAGAAATTGCTACAGGAGAGCTCCTTAATGTGTTTTTTAAAAAGTGGGACGAGGCGACCTCTGGCGGCTATGTAGGAAACTGATTCTGGAGGGCAAAGGCTGAGGAATAAAGTCGTGTGTAAGTGGCTGCCATGTTATTTTTTATTGTTAAGTGCTGTCAAGTCGTTTCTGACATATAGCGAACCTGTATAGGGTTTCCGAGGAACGGCTGTTGAGTTTGAAGCACCGACCTCGTGGTTCAAACTGACATTACAGTCCAGCACATTTGCCCGCAGTGCCACACCAGTACTCCAAGTGGCTGACATGTTGTTGTTGTTTTGTTAGGTGCCATCGAGTCGGTAGCGACCCATAGCGACCATATGTACAGCAGAACAAAACACTGCCTGATCCTGGACCAACCTCACCACTGTTACCACGGTTGAGTCTATCAATGCTGCCACTTGGCCAATCCATCTCATTGGGGGGTCTTCCTCTTTTTCTCTGACCCTCCACCTTACCAAACATGATATCCTTCTCCAGCAACTGGTCCCTCCTGACAATATGTCTGAAGTA